TTTCACGTCAACTACCCCACAACACTCTGAGGTTGTTAGACTCACTGTCAGTTGCCTATATAGCAATGTGAGGGGGCTGAGAGGGAAAGTAGGTGAACTCCGAAATCTCCAAGCACACCTTCAACTGAAAATAATCATTCTTACTGAAACGTGGCTAAACCCCACTATCGCCGACAATGAAATCAGTATAGGTGATATGGTACTGGTCAGGAGAGACAGGGATAATAAGGAAGGAGGGGGAGTTGCTATATACTTTGATAGGCAACTTAAATGTGTGCGCGCAACGGACCCACCACTTATCGAACTCCCAGACTCCATATGGTGTCATTTCACCGTAGGCCACACCAAGCACTTACTGGGTGGCATCTACCGATCTCCCACCTGTGGGGCAGAGCACAATCAGCTACTGCTCAGCACTATCACAGGAATACGAGATTTGGGCTACGACCAAATCACCATAGCTGGAGATTTCAATGCTCCATCACTGAACCTTGGCTCCGGGTGTGCTAAGGGAAAATTTGGCCGAAACCTACTGCAAACTATTCGAAACACGGGACTGACTGAGAATGTTGGAGACGACACTAGGTGGGGCCCTAGTGGAAAGTCATCAAAACTAGATTATATTCTAACTAGTGACCAGCTACTCGTCGAAAAGGTCCAGATCATGACTCCTCTGGGAAGCAGTGACCATGCAGTCATAGGTTTCGATCTTGTCCTCCGTGAGCGTTTGCAATGGGATGTTACGCGACCATGTCTGTGCTACAGCAAGGCTGACTATGCTGAAATGCGGAGGCTCTTGTCCGACGCAGACTGGCCCTTAGCATGGGACGACCTATCTGTGGATGAACACTGGGAAGTGGTAAAAAAGATTATCCATACAGCAATCTCGGATACCGTCCCTTTAGTCACAACACAGCCTAAGAGAAAGACGTCATGGTTGAAGAGAGGCACGCAACGTATTCTGCAAGCAAAGCGGAGGCTTGGTTTACGTGGCGTGTATCTAAGAGTCAGACCGACCATGATGCATACCTCGAACTCAGGAACCGGTGTAATGCAAGAGTTAGGAGGGACAGAAGGTCATTCCAGGCTAACCTTGCTAAAAAACTCCTATCAAACCCTAAAAACTTGTACCGATTCATGTCGGAAAGAAAACCGACAAACCAAGGGGCATGCGCCTTAGTAGGCCCAAACGGTCAATATCTCACTAGTCTGGAGATGGCTGAAACATTCAGTTCAGCCTTCGCTAAACAGCTAAACAGCAATGTGGATATTACAGTTACGGACCAAAATGGTGGCACCACTATTTCAGAGGAGGAAGACCTAGCGACTACTCCCCAAATAAACCCCGCAATAGTACTAAGGAAGCTACAGCGACTCATACCTGGGAAGTCCCCAGGTTGTGATGACATCAGGCCATCTGTTCTGAAACAGTGCGCCGAGGCTCTCTGTAGACCCCTGTGCGACTTGTTCCAACACTCAATGGATTCGGGGACCCTGCCAAGGGAGTGGAAAAGAGCCATCCTTTCTCCAATCTTCAAGGGTGGGGACAGGCAAAACGCTGCTAGCTATAGACCAGTAGCTCTACTCCCAGTGGTATCAAAAGTACTGGAAAGTATTATTGACGACCACATCAGGGAATATTTCGATAGGACTAATATACTGCATGAAGCCCAACATGGTTTCAGAAAAGGCAGATCCTGCGTCACTAACCTACTGTCAGCTTGGGACGACTGGACATCATGCTGGGACTTGAACGTACCAGTCCATGTGGTCTTCCTAGACTTTGAGAAGGCATTTGACACTGTTCACCATGACCTTCTCCTACATAAAATAAGCCAGGCAGGCATAGGTGAGCCACTTCTGTCATGGTTGAAGGACTACCTAGCCGACAGGCAATTTTGCACTAAGGTTAACCGAGTCCGATCATCTTGGCACAGATCGTCATCAGGAGTGTCGCAGGGTTCTATCCTAGGACCACTGATGTTTTTGATTTTCATCAATGATCTACCACGCCGTCTGAGCTGCCCGACTCTCCTGTACGCTGACGACGTAAAAATATGGAGGGCGATAAAGTGTCCGGAGGACTCAGATAGGCTACAGGAAGACCTAAACCTTCTGGAAGACTGGGCGGTGGCCAGTGGCATGACTTTCAACTTGAAAAAGTGCAAAGTAGTGAAGTTGCGCACCTGTAGACTGCAGAATGCAAGTTACACCCTGTGCAATGAAAGCTTGTCCTGCACAACGTCGGAACGCGACTTAGGTCTAGTTCTAACGGAAAAAATGGACACAAGCGTAAATTACACAGGGGATGTAGCGAGGGCATATGCGGTCATACACTTTACGCATAGACAGTTAGGTGCACTCACTCCTGAGCTCTTTCTAATGTTGTACAAAACATACGTCAGGCCACACCTTGAGGTGCATAATATTATTGCACCCCCAATGCTGAGAAGAGATGCCAACCTCTTGGAAAGAGTCCAACGACGGGCAACAAAAGGAGTGGTTGGTCTCCGAAACAAACCATATGATGAAAGGCTGAAGAAATTAGGCCTGTTCACACTTAGTTACCGTCGGCTTAGGGGGGATTTGATTACTGCCTACAAAATAACAAATGACCAGAATCACCCAAACAAAGGTGTTCTGCCATTGAGTAGGTATAGGCTTCCACGTGGAAATCCCAGAAGGATAGCTCACCAGAGGGCAAGGACCCGGGTGCGCTCCCACTTCTTTTCACTGCGGGTTTGTCGTCCCTGGAATTCCTTACCGGCAGATGTAGCTATGGCACCGTCTTTGGACGCCTTTAAGCGAAGGCTGGACAACCATGCAGCGATACAAGGACTGCATCCAAATGGCCTATCTCCTTAAAATCGCATTTACCAATCAGGGTAGATAATTAAACTCGTCATTTTACTTCTTTACATTCTCTCCCGTCTTACTCTCCTGACAACTTATTAATATTATAATTACTATTATTATTTTATTATTACTATTACCGATATATATATTATTCTTCAAACTTAATGAGCTGACTGTTGTTACGTTTCCTATTTTCGTTTCTGTCTCTTAGTCTGAATAGCTTCACTAATTATATCTATTATTATTATTATTATTACTATCTCTTTTCTCTTGTCGACAATACCGAAGGACTAACTGGCGAAAGGATCAACTCCAATCACAGTAGTAACAGTCTTAACATACCTCATACTACAAACCACATATAATTAATCCCAGCACTACTCCCTTTGGAGTCAACCAAAGCTACGACAGTCGAGTGGCGGGACAAGCTACGCAGAAGTTTACCGAAGATCAAGAACCTATACCTCACAATCAAGAAGCGAGCACAAAGAAATCAAATTGGTTTATACTAGCTCGTAAAAACGATATTGGATATTGGAAGCCCTAAGTGATCTCTTCCAACACTCCCTTGATGTAGGAAAGCTTCCATGTGAATGGAAACGAGCAATCCTATCCCATATCTTCAAGGGTGGTGACCGGTACAATGCGACCAGTTACAGACCAGTTGCTCTACTTCCAGTGATATCGAAAATATTGGAAAGTCTCATTGACGACCACATGAGAAAATACTTCGACGGGACTAACCTTCTTCACGAAGCACAGCACGGTTTCAGGAGGGGAAGATCCTGCGTGACGAATCTTCTACTAGCTTGGAACGATTGGACACTAACCTGGGACGAAAAGGTACCAGCCCACGTGATCTTTCTCGACTTTGCGAAAGCATTCGACACAGTTCACCATGGTCTGCTCCTTCACAAAATAAGCAAGGCGGGTGTTTCTGGAACACTTCTCGCATGGCTGAAAGATTACTTAGGCGAGAGAGAATTCTGCACCAAAGTCAACCGCATCCGATCATCCTGGAACACCTCGGCATCAGGGGTTCCTCAGGGTTCTATCCTAGGGCCGTTGATGTTTTTGATTTTTGTCAACGACCTGCCCTCCCAACTAAACTGCTCTGCGCTTCTTTACGCTGACGACGTAAAGATTTGGAGAGCAATAAACTCATCGGAAGACTCAGATAGATTGCAGGCTGACCTGCGAACTCTGGGAAATTGGGATTTGGCTAACGGAATGCCTTTCAATCTAAAGAAGTGCAAAGTAGTGCAACTTCATTCCAGCAGGTCACAGAGTGTAAATTACACCCTTGGTGGCCAGAACTTGAGTTGTGTTCCATCAGAGCGTGACCTAGGTCTTATTCTAACAGAAAAGCTAGACACCAGTGGAAATTACTCGAGGGACGTCGCCAAAGCCTACGCAACATTACACTTTATGCACAGGCAGCTGGGAGCTCTCATTCCCGAACTGTTCTTAAGGTTATATAAGACATATGTGAGGCCACACCTTGAGGTGCATAATATCATTGCACCTCCGCTACTCAAAAGGGATGCTAACATTCTAGAAAGTGTCCAGAGACGAGCGACAAAATGGGTGATTGGCCTCCACAACAAATCATATGAGGAACGACTAAAGAAATTAGGTCTTTTCACACTTAGTTACCGTAGGCACAGGGGAGACCTCATCACCGTCTACAAGATCCTAAATGACCAGGCCCACCCAAATAAAAGCATCCTGCCATTAAGCGATTATAGGCTTCCACGAGGTAACCCGCTAAGGATAGCACACCAGAGACCAAAGACTCGAGTGCGATCACATTTCTTTTCGCTTCGTGTTTGCCGTCTCTGGAACGCTTTACCGGCGGCCGTGACTACAGCGCCATCTCTGGAGATTTTTAAGCGGAAGCTAGACAATCATGCAGAAATGCAAGGTTTGTGTCTCAATGGCTTATCCTCATAAAACTTAAAACCACACTGTCAACGGATAAGCGTACAAACTAAATCCCCACGACCTATTCTGCCTTCTCTCACTCTATCTTTTCCTTATGTCACCTTTATTATTCCACTTATCTCAACCTATATTATCTACACTACAACCCATTATTTTTTTTATTATTACTATTCTGCTTTTATGACTACACCGAATGACCAACGGGAGTTAGGTCAAACTCCATTCACGGCAGCAATACAGTCCTAACATACTGCATACTACAAACCACATCTCGACCAATCCCCGCACCACTCCTCTTGGAGTCTACCAGAGCTAAAGCAGTTGAGTGGCGGGACTTACTACGCAGAAGCTCACCGAAGATCTGGGACCTCTACCTCACAATCAAGAAGCGAGCTCAAAGAAATCACTGGTTTATACTAGCTCGTAATCAGGATATTGGATATTGAAGCTATCAGTGAATATTTAAAAATGATGCGTTACTGTTAGTTGATTGGTTACGTTCTATCTGTGAGGGGGAAATATTGATAAAACCATGATTTTCATTTACTCGCAACATTGATAACTGTTGTTTTTTGAGTTAAAATGTCGTGCAAGGAAGCTTCTCCGGTTACAAGAAGTGGTCTTATAAGTACTAGTGATATACTCGGTAAGCTTTGCTAGTAAGCTCACGAAATTGAAGTTATTAAGGTTCTGGAAAGAAGTTCACATGGGTTAGCAGGTAAATCTAAACATTGTTTGCCGCTGTTTCCACTGCTTTGTTCATTGGAGGTATTTTTCTGTCGCATAATTGTACAATTATATGCAGTTATTCCTAATATTCTAAAGTTATTATGTACGTGCATAATGATCAAAATAATTTATTATATCCATCTATTTTATTGTATTGAACTTAGGTGTGACACTTTGATAGTGGATTCGACCATTTTTAGCGTTTCGATATATCGAATTGTCATATATGACATTAATTTGCAGTCGCATAACAGCACTTCTCATCCCTCATATGTATATAGATCTAGTAAGAATATTGTGCTCTCTCCTAATCCAAGAGGTTGTATGATTTTCTCATTTAGACCATCAAGCACTTTTGGTAGGGTAAACCCTACATTTTTTCAACATCACATAAGTTCTTTTGAAAATAGCTTGATTTTTACAATTATCTAAACCAAAATATCTAAATTTGATGGAGTCTCCATGTAGCTGAAGGACAACTTGGATTGAAGAATTATTTGCATAAGTACAGGATTTCAACCAGCCCCATCGGGCCAGTACTAGACTTATTTAGTAACAAGTAGACAAGTTTGCATGAAATAATTGTTTAGCCATCATTTTCGGTTCGGTTAAAAGGTTCCATCATCATTGATGTAAAATATGTTTCGTTCTGAAAAGGTTTAGGAATCTGTGAAGATCTAATTTCTCGTAACAGAAAGCAGTATTCAGTAAACGTTTAGAGGAATAGCTTGTGATGGTCACCGGAACTCTAAGTTGATGTTTACCAACATCCCACACTGGGAAAAGACTAAAAGGCAGTAAACAAATTTGGGTGGCATTCCGTAAGAAGGTTAATCAAGTGTATAATGGAAACCCGAGATTTTGATTGATCTTAAAGAGTGGCGTCGATTATACAACTACTAAGTTGTAAACTACTGAGAACACCATCTAGGTAATTCACCCTTTCCTGTATAGCCAATACATTAAACTAAGCAATTTTCCAGCCAATATCCTAAATTTTCTACTAGTGTAATTGTATTGTCATCATTTCCGTCAGAAGGTCGGGTTCGGTATGTGTAACATGTAAAATTAGAAACACCTAAGTTTAAATCTCGTTGAATTTTTTACCTTTCTTGTTTATCGCTATCTTACATTAATAATGCTCATTCGATGACACCTCCATTTCTAAACAATGGTTTGAAAGTAATCATTGTGTTAAATATGCAATTCATTTGAACACTGCTCTTTCATCATTTATATTTCGTAGTTTCACAATCCCATAATGTGCAGTACTTCAAAATAAAATTTTATTTTTAAAGTTGGATAGATAAAGTAAAAAGAAACATCTATAAATGTTCAACAGTATAGTTTGCTATAAGATGTTGAACAGCACGGCATGGTAATTCTGTCGCTGAGAACGATATGATATGGTTCAAAATTGTTCTCAGTGACTGGCGCAGATTGTGATTTATCATATCCAATATAAACCCACTGTTCTTCCATATTACTATTCTTTTTCCCTCACTCACACGTTTGTTTATTATCTCTCTCTTTTGAATATCTTCTGTTCTCTTGTTTTGTGTGCTGTATGTAGAGAAAGTGGCAACTCGAACTGTTGCGCATCTGTGAAAAGTTCTATGTTGAAACTAGTCAGTCAGAACGATTTTGAGCTATATCACCATAGCCTCCTGCTATTTGTTCTTGCAATTCTAAGGACCCCAACCAGACTGTCTACATCCCCCTAAGTGACTCCACGGATTGATGCTACCTTTTGATATGTCAGCTAATTACTCCTTTCCAACATACTCTTACGTCGGCTACCATTACACGTCGAGGAAACTGATGGTTCGATATGCACGTGTCTTAGCCATCTCAATCGATATAGTTTCTAAACTTTATCAAATAACCCTCCTTGCCTAACACTACGCCTAACTTCTTTGTTACTCATCATATTATTCCACATAAAGTGAGAGATAGAAGGCACAAACTATGGACAATGGAGACTGGTCTCTTCATATCTTCTACTTCTAACGCCCGCCTCACAGATGTAAAAGAGGACGGAGCGAATCACTGTGCACTACGCATTTTCTTTGATCGGAAGTGATACAGAAAGCTGATTCCGATAATTTACTGTCCACCGAAAGTTCTTTTAAAATACTCTTTAGTTTTGACGTATTCATTTAACGTATTATCCTTTTCTATTTCGCTCGTAAATGAAGTATATATATGTCTATATTTTAGCTCTTTAAATTATGCATTAGGTTAGGGTGCTCAGGATACCAAGAACCAGTGACTGGAGACGACTAGTCGTATGGCTCAAAATCGATCTCAATGACGGAGATGCATTCACTCTTTATGGTCTCCAATATCCACATGATGCAATATTCAGTTATCTCTGTGCAGTGTTGTTCCGACCGAAAGCTGCTACCTTGAGGTGGTGGTCGGGCTTGAACACCGCAATGACCCAAGAAGCTATACTGGCTGAGACTTATGTCTCTTGAGGTCCTACTATGCCAGAAAGGTTATTTGGATAGCGGTTCGACAAAAAGCAGCTACCCAATCCAATACTATGATATAAACAAACTCACAAAATATCATGCCGGATCGGTTGGGGCCCGGATTAACAACGACTATGTCGAAAACAGACAGAGAGTGTTGTTCTGAAAAGTTACATTTTTGTTTGGTGGAAGCTTGTTTCTGCAAATTTAACATCTATTAAGTATATCTTAGGATATGGAGGAGATATTCGATCACCTATTATGAGTTAACTGGACAGACATTAGAAATAAGCCATTACCTTCATAGAATTACTAACACTAAGGGAAATCATTGGATCGCTTTGACACTCTTGCCTACTCAGGGTTCACATTAACTTACTATACTACAAAAGTATAACCCACTTACAAGAAGCTTACGGATTTCCCAGCAAATGAGAAAAAAAAGATATTGTTTTTTAATAACGGTTCGCTATATAATACTGTTAATAGCATTATCAAAGTAATGTTAAATTAGAATTCAGAGATCTCAGCTGATATTCAATAACTTAGTGATAGTGTAACGACAGAAGACAAGGGCCAGGAAACAGATCATTTTTCGAGGAAATCAACAGATATTTGTAGATTTTTATGCACATTACTATTCATTATCGTTAGCATAGAAGCAATATCTTCTGATTGGTTGTTTTCCTGCTGAAGGTTATTCTGTCATCTCTTTGTTGTTGTTTCTCAGACAGTCCGTTGATATATTGCGGATAGTATCCTTCCACGCAAAGTCCTCTGTGATTGGTTGTTGAGTTCTTCAAGGTTAGGCTTTGTTCTGGTTTTCTCCCCTGACCAGGATTTGGGACGTAGACATTGATGTAAATTGCTGTCTACCAATTTTGGCTAGCAGATAGCTCTCACCACAATAGTCGAGTAATTTCTTGCTGTCAAGTGTATGAATTGGTATTTATAATAAATTATATGCAGATTGTTGGATTTGATAAATGCAAGAGTTATCCGTAGATCATGTGTTTATCCATCTTTTACATTAAAGTTAATTTCATGGAGGATTTCATCATGAACTGACATCAGTTACAGAACCACTGGAAAATCTGGGAGTACTGGACAGCTGTTTCGTCCCAGTTTGGGACTCCTCAGCAGTACTCACCCACCGGGGTTCGAACTCAGGACCTCCTGGCAGAATTTAGAATTCAAGGACCATTGGATCGGGTCCCAGTGGCTCAATGGTCTACGAGCTGGCCTTGTAACCACAAGGTCCTGGGTTCGAATCCCGATGGGTTCGTACTTCTGAGGAGCCCCAAACTAGAACGAAACAACTGTCCAGTACTCCCAGGTTTCCAGTGGTTCTCCAACTGGTTTCAGCTCATAGTGAAATGCTCCATGCAATCAAACAAAATCCCTACAAAATCAATACTTGAAAAAGTTGATTTCACTTCATGGGGGTGGGTTGGTGTTTGGTGAGATTAGGGGAAATTCTGTTGCAATCCATCGTTTTTATTCAGAAAATTTAGATTCTATTTGGTATGATGTGCTTCTGATATGAAACAGTTTTTGATTTTCGAATTTTTTCTAAAGGATTTCAATATTATTAGAAATCAGTTTTTCGACTTGATTCTACAGTGTGTAATAATAATAATATTAATAAAGCTTTATTTCAGACAGTATGCAAACATATAGTACAAAGATTTTTAGCGTATTCAGTTCGAAGTTGCTGTTTTCTTCATTCAGGATTTACATGTAAGGTGATTATCTGAAGGATATGTTCATTTTGTTGAAGAACCGCACACCGTGTTTACTTCGAAGCAAGTTAAATTAGTACGCGAGTTCATGTATAGGTCATCTGATATAACTGCACAATTAAAAGAATGATAAATCCAGATGAAATTAAGCATTCTAGTGGTGTACACCTATGACCAATGATTCTTCAAGCTTTTCTAGTCATATCGAATTTCTTGGTTGTCGAAGAGAAACTCCACGTTTCTTCGTCTCCATGTAATTATTAATTGTTAGGCTGTTCAGTTAATGAAAGTCTACATTGCCTGCATATATGTGATCAGCATGTAACAACCGGAGTCTAGAGTTGGGAAAAACTCTAGACTTTGTGCTATCTAACATTTTATCACTGTTTTTATAATTCCATTTTCATCTATTTTGCTTGCATTTTGTTTCCTTTGATAGACAATGCCTCCCATCGAAAATGGTGAAAAATGATTTTAGCGTATGGGCTTTTGTGAAACAGTGTATCGGAAAGGTAATTTAAATGTATTTTTTTAAAATTTTGAATTAGTATTTTGTTGGTTTACTTTTATAATTGCATGAGTGAATTTCGAATAAATAAAATCTGTGTTCCTCTGAACCCTTGTTTTTTTAAAAAAACAAACATTTAAGTATGTCTAACATGTATTTCACACATGTAGGATATATCACTTCTTGGCTCTCTGAGCTAAATTCACAGTTTAATTTTTGCAACGATTTGTTAGTCAGTGATAAAACGCTTACCTGCTACTCAGGAGGTCTACATTCGATTCGATGATGTTACAGGACTGGACTACATCGACGCCTAGTTTAAAAATAGGGAGTGAAGTGGTAGAGCACGTTAACCGCTTCACTTATTTGGGAAGTACCATCAGCCCCAACGGGTTTATCTCTGACAAAATCTCCGCACGGATACAGAGGGCTAGCTTCGCATTTGTCAGTTTACGCCGACTCTGACGTAGACGAGATGTTCGACTATCGACCAAAGGGCGGGTGTACTGCTCATCAGTCCGCTCCGTCCTCCTTTATGGTTGTGAGACCTGGCCACTGAGAGTGGAAGACATGAAAAGATTGCTAGCTGTCTTTGATCATAGGTGCCTGCGCTCTATTTGCCGTGTAAAGTGGCATAATAAGGTGAGCAACATTGAAGTTAGGCATCGAGTTCTAGGTAAACAGGGGAAATCAATCGACGAAGTCGTGAAGTTACAAACACTGAGATGGTTAGGACATGTGTTACGTATGCCAAGTCATCGCCTCCCTCGACGAGCAATGTTAGCAGATATAGGGTCAGGCTGGAAAAAAGCTAGCGGAGGTCAAACAAAAACTTGGCACCAGTCAATGAAATCAACAGTTGGTCTAAGCCACGTAGGAAGGTGTAGACTTCCAGACTGGGGTCCTCGGGACGGTAAAAATCTATGGTTGGAAACAATTGGTGACATGGCTGAAAATCGTTCTCAGTGGCTGGCGCAGATGTATCCACTCCTTGTGACTTATGATCTCCAATGAAACTATTGTGTTCTTCGTTATTACTCCTCCTTTGTCTCACACCTCTGCTCACTGTTTCGATTATGCTTTTCTTGTACTTTCTTCTCTTGCTTCGTGTGCTACACGGAGTGTGGCGACTTGAACTGCCGCACATTTGTGCAAAGTTCTATGTCGAAAACAGACAGACAGACAGACAGATATTCGATTCCCAGTCGACTCAATGTTAAACGTAGCCTGATTAGTGGTAGTAAGGCTGGAAAAGAGGGAAGTTTGAGCATGAAGAGTTTGCAATCCCTCTATGTGGAAACAAGACCGCTACTAGTGAAAACTTCACAACTTGAAGTTCTGTATTTCACTTCAAGTTGAAAATGAATGGGGAAAAATGAAAAAATTAATCATTTGGACTAGTTTACTTCTATACAATTGGTGGATGGTGGCTAGCAGTGGAATCCAGGATAAAGCGCATTTCGTCCTATTTGGGACTCGTCAGCTGGATGTACCTGCATTTCTCAGTCAGTGATGATGTTCCCACTGAGGCTGGAAGCCAGTTCCGATAGTTTCAAACGCCAAAGCCTTATCCACTAGACCACTTGGGCCACGAGAGCCACCTCTTGTGCAACGGGTCATATTAATTATTCAATTGAATTTCTGATTTTCGCGTCGATTGATTGGACCGAAGTGCTCGGTCTCAGGTTGACATGTCGGCTTGTTGTGCAGATGCTTGGACGATGTCTGGTCATTTAATTAGTATACAATTGGTGGATGGTGGCTAGCAGTGGAATCCAGGATAAAGCGCATTTCGTCCTATTTGGGACTCGTCAGCTGGATGTACCTGAGACCGAGCACTTCGGTCCAATCAATCGACGGGAAAGTCAAAAATTCAATTCAATAGTTTACTTCTATTCCAGATTACACGTTATAATATCCTTTTTTTATCTTCTTGTGTCTCCTGTGGATTGATCGACTGAAGGCATATACACTTCTGTAAAATACAACAAGCTAGAACAACAAACACTAAAGCGGTTTAAATGACATCTACTCAGCTGCCTATAACCTATAATAATTACTATGCACCAAAATTATAATAAGAACTTTAAAACAATTAGTCTCTTTTATAAATTTTGATAGCGTTATTAGAAGACGGAGATTATCTGAAAAATACTGTGATGTGTATTGGCGCTATGCATTTCGAACCATCTGATCCCTCACACATTTGCTTGTCAAGTCAATATATATGGAAAAGTTAAATTAAACAAAGTGACAAAAAAAAGAATAATTAACACAAACGTTTGGTAATCCAGTCATATAAGGATTACCAAGGTAGGTGAAGAGTAATAACATATAAGGGTGGGAGAGCATATCCCAAAATGGTTAGAAAAACAGATGAATTGTGACAAGCCAATAGATGCAGGTGTCAGACAACCAACTTCGTCTATACCTAAACATCTAATCGAGATGAACCATAAGATTGATTTGATGTCAACTCAGCCCTTAAGGTCATCTATAAAAACGGTCAAGGGCGTTTACTGAAATACTCTAAGGCTATAGCTATTCATAAACCTAAGCCCCCCTTAGGTATTCAAAAACAGTTTGTTATTACTCTTAACCTACCTTGGTAATCATTATTTGATGATTGGATTACCAAACGTTTGTATTAATTTTTCCTAATTCTTTTTTTTTCACTTTGTTTAATTTAACTTTTCCATATATATTGACTTGACAAGCAAATGTGTGAGGGATCAGATGGTTCGAAATGCATAGCGCCAATACACATCACAGTATTTTTCAGATAAACTCCGTGTTCTAATAACACTATCAAAATTTATAATAAGAACGTTTGACACGGTGTGTAATGTTGCTATTCAACAATGAATTGCAATTCCATGCAGTTGGTAATGAGCTACACCTATATTGTGTGAGGGCTATTGATACTAGCTAGCTGCCCAAACGTCGGTGGGTGAAGCAGGGCTCGAACCTGTGACCTGCTGGTAAGAAGTCGAGCGTCTAAACCAGTGGGCCACAGTCCCACTTCATATACGTTAGAAATCAGTCAATTAAAAGTTGCAAATAAAATGTCACATAGAGATAATTAGTAAATTGTCTTTAGATATCACAAAATATACATTTCAATATAAATTCTAATTATGAACCGGTATTAGTTGGAGATATATTGAGAAATAGGGGAAGCATCACTGGATGGCTGTTCCACCATGATCTCACCATCTCTAGAGATGCGTACGCATGACGTTACCATTAATCGGAACTAGGGTCTTTAGATTGTTATGTGAGCATGTTTAATGTTCTAAAGCTGGGCTGGAATCCCGTGGCCTATAGTTCCAGGAATTTCGGGGTATGGATTGCTCAAATGGTTACCAAAAGGTCCCTGTGTGTGTAGACTGCTTGGTTGGCGTCTTTGAGGTGGTAATAATCAATGAATGGAGACTGTTAAACGATACGACTGAAAGTCGTTCTCAGTGGCGCAAGGTGTTTCATTCATTATAGTCTCCAAGATGCATAAAGTCTTCATGTTCCTCCATAAAATTATTCTTTCTCCAATACATTCCTGCGCATTATTCTTCGTTGAAATGTTTTCTATTATTGTGCTTTTGTGTGCTGCATTTTTAAGCGAGGTTTCACGTTGCAGGTCAATCAGTTGTGTTAGTTCTGAGTGAAATTGTTGGTGGGGATATGGATGTAACCTGATGATGACGAGTCCCAAACAAGGACGAACTGTCTATTCAGTGATCCCTGTTTCTTTTGTGTAGGAAAAAAACCTACAATGACCTTAATCAAATTTCTACAAAGTAATCAATCGTTGGTTAGTAATCACAAAAATATATAGCTTTGATAAAAAGAAAAACATAAATGACTTTAATTGATAAACACAAAGCGTAAAAGGAACAGAAATGAAAAAAAAAGATTAAAAGGAATTAATCTTAGTATACTGTTTCAGTGTATTTTTGTTATAGCTATAAGGAATTTCCTCTATTTTGTTATTCCAATTGTTGGTACTTTAATTAATGATAAAGTCAACTGTATTCCGATGACCTTTAATCTGATTGGTTAATGGAATTGTGATCGATTGATTCATAGATGGATGGATTTAACATCAGCCTGTATAAATGTAGATGAACATTAATTAGAGGGATAGTATATCATAATCTCACTATTTGAATTCATAAGGTTTCAATACGATACTTACTAATGACGTGATCGAATGATTTGCTCAGTTGGCGTAGTCGTTTCGAACTATTTTCTGCTTAGGATTAGAAGTGTGCATTGTTGGAAGAGTATCCAAATTAGAGCATGTTGGCCGCATCACTTATTTGGGAATGGGTTGATCGCTGACGAAATCTCAGTACGAATACAGAGGGCTAGTTTCGCATATACCAGTTTACGCTGGCTATCGACCAAAGGACGTGTGTACTGCTCATCAGTCCATTCCGTCCTCCTTTATGCCTGTGAAACCTGGCCATTGAGAGTAGAAGACATGAAAAGACTAGTTTTCTTCGATCATAGGTGCCTGTGTTCTATCTCCCGTGTGATGTTGTGGTATAATAGGGTAAACATTATTGAGGTTAGGCTTCAATCTGGTGTTAGGTAAGGAAGGGAAATCAATAGACGAGGCTATGAAGCTACATCGACTGAGATGGTTAAAACATGTGTTACGTATGCCTAGTCATTGCCTTACTCGACGGGCAATGTCAACTGACAGAGGGTCAGGTTGGAAAAGAGCTAGCTGCGGTCGAACCAAAACATGGCCTCATCGGTCAATGAAATCCACAATAGTTAGTTTAAGCCACATAGGGAGGTGCAGACTTCTCGGGGTCTTTAGGATGGTAAAATCAATGGGTGATGACACTTGGTGAAATGGCTCAAAATCGTTCTCGGTGATGACTGTTGCAGATGCATCCACTACTTGTTACTTACAATATTCAATAAAACTGTATGGTTCTTCGATATTACTATTCTTTTTGCTTCATATCTCTGTTTACTGTATCTGCTTTGCAT